TTTGAAACGCAGCTACCTAAGTAGGTGAAACATCCCACCACAGCTAATTCTTGACCATCAAGCATCGGCGTGGGGTAGACGACACCCAGTCTTGTAGAATCACTTTGCACTTTGAAGGTGCAAAGCGCATGCCGAAAGGAGATACAGAACTTGTTATTCTGAGAACCCATACAATGTGCCATGGACGACCAGAATCACCCATTTAGATGTTATTGCTTAATACAAAGAGACCGATAGAGGTTGAGATTTTTCAATCCAAGGACAACTAACTCATTCTTGCGTATATACATAAGTTTTTCCACTTGGAATATGTACTTTCAGTCACTGAAAACAACCAAACCATCGACAGGTATTCGATCCTCCACAAAAAGAAGCCCATACAAGGGACCGCAGGATACACGAACACCAGATGGTAAGCGACGAAGAAACAAGGGTATGTCATGACAAACTCGACTCTGATCTGTCTTTTAGGACCAAAGTGATTAACTCCTCCCCCTCTTAATCGTATTTCCGTGTCGAGAACCACTTCAGTACCACAATCCACCTGGTATCTTAACACAACTACGGTGGATGAAGCAAATTAGTAGAGCGGTAATTACGGGATCCCAGTTCGGGACGTTGGGGCGCTTCGTGGTGAATTCCAGGTGATTGCAGATTCTAGGTGGAACACCCCATTTGGAAAACTCTTTCTCAATCTGGGTAGCTGGGACGTACACTGTTGGCGTATCATCCTGTAATTCACTGAGTCGCAAAGTGTGATTTAGTGAGACTGACATTTACTTCTTTCCCATATCACACAACACAGTAAATGTGGTGTCTCGTTCCTATTGTTCTCTCCATCAGGTCAACTTTAGTTTCTCCATGAACTGGTAACTCTTCGGCTTCAACGCTGTATCGAGTTTAGTGAATCATTATATAAATGATTGAAATATTCTAAAGCTATAAGATCGACACCGCGAAACAGGTCGTCGTGTTAGATTCCGCAAACAGATTGCAGAGATGGTGAGGACGAGACAAATGAGAATATGGTTAGTATAAACTAGAAGACCGATCGACAACCACTTACGGATTGGGCGCATTGCGGCTAAACACACCGATCAAGGTGGTGGCTGCAGACACCACTTGTGGTTCGCTAGACCAACGATCCAAAGCCAGACAAGCACAGGTCAGCAAACCTTGGATACAACTCCGTGTCACATCAGGCAGCAAAGCATCATTCAGATTCTCCTTATCGGCACTGGCAAATTGACGTACGCCTATCTGGTTGTGCGCATGACCTTGGTGCGCCGGTTGAGGTTCGTTTGGCTCGTCTTGCAGAATGTTGAGAATAGGTGAACGTGATTTGTTCACCTTGAGAGTAAGAGGGGGATAAAGTATAACGACAGTTCAAAGTTATATTGCTTTTAGTATATATGATGGTAATAAACACAAATTAACATCGAATGGGAGGTCTTAGGCATCACACAGATTTTCACCTTTATCGCCCCCAACAGAGGTAAATCAAAACGAACTTTGTACGCACATTCCTCTTTAACCACCGTGCTAAAAATTTACAAAGTACGACTAGACGCTATCACATTATCCAGTTTTCACGCAGGGCAGTCAGTAGCTTCAACAGCCTTCGTACAGGACCAGAACGGTTTAGAATGTATACGACGGCGAAAGTTGAACAATGGTCATATAAATGGACGATTGTCACTAAAAGTCGCGTCTCTTGCGGTGGATGCATAGTTGTCACTGTGGCGGCAGAAAGCTCTCGTTTGAAGATATAAAGTATCTCTCCAATGTCGTTATGGTTGTTTCAGAATATTAAATTTGGTGTCTGTTTTAGCGGTGTTTCACTGCATGTTGGTGCATTATTCGAAACGGTCATTAACGATTCCGTCTATGAAAACCAAAGCTGCTCAACACGTCAAACTGAATAGTTTCCCACACTGAAACAGAATTCTCCTCATTTTGCAATTTCCATACACCTATTCGATTTGTGAGCATCTTTCTCTTCGATACCCAAAACCTTATTCTTCAGCATATCATTCGCGGCTGAAACCTTGGTTCATCGCTTCACTCTACTTTAATCGGTTGTGACCCAAGCTGTTGGACATGTGTCCTGCGTGGCGACCCGTCCCCTTCATTTGCACCCCATGGAATGGTCTTATGCGATAAAACGTCTCAAACTGTCTCCGCTAGGGAAGCCCTATTTATGGCTTTCACGTGATGGATGGCCTCTCCTATCAAAGTTAGAGGACGAATAGCCAACATCCACCCCGGTAAACCAGTAGTAGTTTACTTAGAGGAATTGGCTACGAACTCCAATTTTAGATCGATCCACAGTTGTGTACGCAAACCTTCCTGGCTTCGGCAGTGATTACTAACTGGATTGGGCATCGAAGTGCGGAGATTAACTTGAACGCTTGGTCTTGTTCAGAGAGTCCGTGATCAGATGAACCGGACATAAGATTTGTACCGTGATTAGTTTGACATACAGCTTGGGAATCACTAGACTCAAGTTTCACTCGCCCTTAAACGTGTAGTGAATTCTGGACCTATCCCATGGAAAGCGAGTCATCACTTTACAAACCAGCTCACAACGGGGGATCGATCAGAATAGCAAATCTAAGTTTATTCGCATGTTGTCTTTAGCTCATTACATCAGTGAGCATCACAGGAAAGTAACGTGCTTGTGCTCACTTCTCGCACCCAGTCCTCGAGTCTCTCTTAAATTCAGTGACTTTATTTTGATGACATTGTTCTCGATACCCTTGCCATTGCGGCACCAAACTGGTTGCGACAATGCGTAACTAAAACTGAATCACAGCAGTGAACTGAATTCATTGTCATCATAGTCATCATCGTACAGCGGAATATGGTGAAGCAAACCTCGCTTATAGCTGCTGAATTCCTAGTGCATACAATTTAAGTGGGCATGTGTGAGATGGATGGGGAGTGGGCTAACTTTGGAAAACGGGGGAAGAAAGCTAACCTCAATGGCTAACACACAGAGCACATAGTTCAACTACGCCTACATACTTTTTCAATCATTCTGGTCTAATAAGAAGTGACAAGAACGCCACTGCTGTCGATTCGTTGTCACGTGCTTCAGTGCCTCCAGTCAACAAGCTAGAGAGTCTTTTGGACCCAAGCATGGAAGGCGGGAGACATCTAATCTATCCAGTAGCTCTGTGCAGTTCTTCATGCCTTGTCTCCACGTAGTATCCTCCAGCCCGAAGCGGCGAGAGAAAATAAAGCGCGGTGCGGCAGACAACAGCTTGGAATACGCAATACGAGCCCTAACAAACGAAGCTTACTAACCCGAATTCGACGAGCTAGAAAGCTTATCTCTAATAAAATCTCAAACACGACGGCTTATCTCCAGATTACCAAACCGTTCACTCCATCCCGCATGGGCCAAACTATATAAACACCGATAACCGAAAATCAAGACACTCGGTCATATGGGTTGCATTGGGCTCCTTGCACGGGGATTTCGGCATCAGTGTGACCAACGGTTAGAGACACTGATTGGTATGGCTGAGTGCTGCATACAGTGGTGCTCGTGTATCTACTCACTGTCTTGGGAAAATTATTTCTCATGAATTCTGTGTTATCACCTTGATATTGTTTCGAAATTTTCAATCATTCTTCTACTCTTTCATCTAAATAGGCAGCGTAAGCACATCAAACAGAACCGCAGCACAAAAGTACGTGGCGAACGGCTGTTCAAACTGAAAGTGAAAAGATTTCTCATCGAAGATGATGCCTCGGACCTCACCAAGCTTCGTTTTCGAACCACACACAAACCATCGGAAGAATGTTAACATGTTTCTCGTTGTCCGTGATGTCCGTATCGTCTTAGAAACAGTTGACACATGCTATACATGTGTGTCATTCCAAGAGAATACACAGGGTCACTGAACTGAGCACTCCTCCCGGAGAGGCTCATTGTAAGAGTCAGGTTGGTCGCTCGAAAATGAAAGTGGAAAATGACCACAATGGTGGTGATTATAATCGACGGAGGCAACGAGAAGCAGATTGTAACGAATGAACCACACTTACCATCACAGTCTCGCGTTCCAGGACACTGTAGCACAAGTATGCCAGAGCGAATCGTGTTGTTAGCCAAAAGTTGTCCTCGGCCAGCTGTGCGCTGCCCAACCCATGACTGACTTGGAGCCAGAGTAGGCGAATTACCGAGCTGAAAAGTCTGTGACAAAGAATTCGGTAAATCGCGGTTCATGAGAGAAACCAAACATCTTTAGTGTAGAAATATACTTAGCCTCTGGGGATTCACAATTTCAATAAGTAATTAAAGCATCAGAAAAAAAGATAGGACGGAATGTGGATTCCATTTAGCGGGTTTCAAGGATAGCACTAGGTGTGGGTCATCTCAAGGATGCGTTTTTAGATGAGATTTTCCTACCACGCGGAACAGGTTAATTTATAAAAACCACGATTATAAAAAACTAGCGCAGTGTTCAGGTTACTCCTCAGAGTGACTTTATTGATATGATAATCGTGTGCTAGTGTAGTATTACAATGAAAACACTTTTATTGCTAGGAGCTGGTGGAACGTTTTGAGTAATTTCAACGCGAATCCTACGGCCAGTACCAATCAAATCTGTTCTATGTGGTACAATTCGCGTTCAAACCGAGTGAAACATCCCTGGATAGAATTCAGGTAGATCCACTTCGTGCTGTTTGCCTTCTCGCTTCATAGCGGGGTTACTGAAAATTTACTGATTACCTGAACGATAAACAAAAGTACAACTATGAAAAACACGATTGAAAATCGAACAGAAAAGCACTCTTTCTACGTTCTTCCATACGTGCACATATAGAAACAGCTCCCAGATGATCTCGAATTTACTTTGAAAGGATGCAGAAAATGCGAAGATCATTTGCAAACCTTAGGCCGGGGAAGACGAAAAACAATTTTGATTTGGATCTTACCTAATTAGACTAGGCACCTGATCGAGCGTCACAGTGACAGGTGGCCATGGTTCGGTTGGATTCAAGCACTGGCCGCTGGCAGCCAACCGGAGCAAACTGCGACTCTCACCAATATCGACCGGATCATCTATTCCCATGCGTAGCAACGCTTGAGGTGTCTGAGACATGCCAATGAACAACAATTGGTAGCAGAGATGTCAGGGAGCCGTAGAAAAGCCCGAAACGGTAGACCAAAGTAGTGAAAAACGAAATGAGTCATGATGTTCAACTTTTAAACAAGCGGAATCAACCACTGTGGCATCCGTGAGTGGATTGAGCGATTTACAACTATAGTGGCGACAAACAGACTGTTAGGCTCGTAATCACCAATGAAGAAAAGAACACGAAAATACCAACCAGTTGGTGCAAATTAGATGTTTCGTTCTGTGCAATCTTAATTACTTTTTTATCCGATATTGTTCTTCAAATAAATAACTCTCCTCTATCCAACACTGGACTTCGGAACAATAACATTTGGAACCGTCGCCAAAATTAAGGCGCATTGTCCTGCAATGTTCGCAGATGGAGAAATGCGAACTTTCCTGGAGTTGGAAGACGTCTCGGAAATAGCGGTGATACGGTCGTAACGGGCTATTGACGGCCGTTCGACAGCTTCTCAAGGGCCGTGGCGGGTGGTGTTGGATGCGGCGTGAAGAAACCCAGAGGAGATGGAGCGGCCCGCAGCCAAAGCCTCCCTGATTTCGGGATTCGAAACCCCAGTCGACCTCCAGGAGGTATTGCGGCGCTTCTGAACGGTGCAGCTCGCAGTTGGAGTTGACTTTCTGTTGCACGCCGTGGCCCTGCGCGACCTGTGGAATGGAGCAATCACGACGTTGGACGAAGCTGTGAGCTCAGAATTACAGCTCGATGATGAGCCTGCCGGGAAACCTGCGGGAGACATGGATAATTGATGCCCACAAGACGATGGATGCATTCAAACTGACGGATATCGACAGGGAGTTCACTGAGAGAACGGCTGTATAGGCAACTGAAGGTCATAGGCACCAGTCTACAGCGGTTATGGCAACACTCAAGAAACTGAAGGAAGTGGCGGCCATTTGAGCAGGTTGCAGCCACAGAACCGACAGGAAACAGAATTTCAAGCGTGAGAAGCCAGAGAGCGGTCAGAAAAATTATCGAACGGTCCGCGAGAAAATCCCTTGTTTCGTTCAAATCGCTGTTTCAGTTTTGACAACCATTAACCATGCACTTATGCACCGGTTTTGGTTGCCCATTTGGATAAAAAGCAGAATGAAGATTAGAATGTTGAGAGCAAATTCAAAAGGAGGATAGCTAATATACATAGAATGATGCTAAAAGAATAATCAGTAGATGCATGGGCGCCACCGTTTACGACTCTCAGCCATACCGCTCGGTATCTCTAACCATCGGTAACCACGATTGCGGGGTCCCAAGCCAGGAGCCTAACGGGACCTATGTGACAAAGACTCTATGTTAGGGTTTCATCCCTTCATGCCAGGTCCTCTATTGACTGCCACTGATCTTTTTCCAACCGCTACCGGCCACGGCAAACATCGCTCGCCGTGGCAACCTATCCGGTGACATGCGCAGCACATGTCCCAACCAACGTAATCTATGGAGGTCGACCACTTGTTCCAGTGGACGACCGCGATTACCTAACACCCCACCTAATCTCAGCATTATTCGTCAGGTTACCGCACAAGGCTTATGCAATGCGACCTAGACAGCGGTCTTCGAATACCAACAGTCTACCTTAATCCTGCTTCCTTAATGGCCAAGTTTCTGCGCCGTATAGCAGAACTGGCCGAACTGCCGCGGCATACAATTGAATCTTCACAGAAAGCCGGATATCGCGACGGCGCCACAGATGTCTCAAGTAGGCAAATGACAAACGAGCCTTTTGTTCTGTGCTTTCATGACCCTGCGAGCTATACAGGATAGCTTCTCACAGCCGCAGATCCAATCACGCTTGAAAGGTCAACGGGTAGAGGCCAGACAAAGATCAGTCTCACAAGGCCAGCTGATTGGGCACCTGGCTTCGTTCTTCTATTCACACCCGCCCCTGAAGAGGTCACCCCAGCGAATAAACACGGTGAGGGGCAGTTCACCGGCCCAAAACACCCTGCTAGATGAACCTCGGGTAGGGATTACCTGGGGATTCCTGTCGACGGCTCATCAACAGTCTGGGGAATGACCGCGAGA